CCCCCCCCGGAGCTCCCCCCGCCACCGTCCCGGGGGTCACCCGGGAGCAAAGCGTTCCCTCCGCCGGGGCTCGGCGGCACCTGCGGCCATTAACCGCCCGCCCGGTCGCTTTCCTGCCAGCCGGCCCAAGAGCCGGCTCACCGCAGTCCCGGTAGACCGAAGGGCGATGGGGAACGCGAAGGAGCGAACCGGAGGTGGCGGCGACGAGGAGAGCGGGGGTTCGTGCGGGGTCCGTCCTCGTCCCGTGCCCCCGCCGCAGCTGCAGGGCTCTCCGCTGGCCGGGGAGCCGCCGGTGTTTACAGAATGAAGTTTGGTGCTATTTAAAGCTTCCAGTGCTCTCGGAGAAGAGCGTTGACAGCTGGACTAGGAACATGTGCCTACGTCCCACCCTGGTTTAAGGAGGATTTCTGGAGGCTCAGTCAGAAGTAATGCTTCTGGCCTTCAGAAATCCTTCCACGCAGGTGGCTTTTCTGAGCTTGGCAGGGGACAAAGACAACCCCTTGCCTCCCACAGAGCTGTCTCCAAAGTCCCAGGAAACGGGACTGTGCGATACCAATGGGCACACAGTCCCCTGGGTGAGACGGCATCGCTCTGCTCCGGTGCCCAGCAGTGCCACGGGCTGCCCCGGCTCACCGGGCTCCCGGCACCACAGCAGCGATACCAATACAGGTCCCTCGGGTTGGGCACTGACACAGGCACCGCCAGCTCCCAGCATGAAGCTGAGCCACTACACACCGGGCAGCTCTTGCTCCTGTGTGGTGCTGCCTGGGACGCCGCTGCCGCCTGCATGCCCGTCTCTTGGCACTGATCAGTTTGGGAAGAGGCACCCATGCTTTGAAAAATCTGCTTTTTGCTAAATCCGCTGCGGACAATAACCCTGGGTGACTGCGACAAGGAGAAGCCCCAGTGCTGCTCTCTTAACACACTTACATGCAAGAAGGTCGGCTGTCAGCGAGGTTCACGCTCACACAGTTCATGTGCTGTACGTAGCACAGAGCTATGCTTCTGCTTACAAAGGGAGAGGTGGCAAGGGAAAGGACCTTTCTGTGCTCTGTCCCTGCTCCAGGGTCCCAGTAGACCAGCTGGAGGGATGTTGCCCTTATTTGTGGACAGTTTTAGCTGTTGCAGCAGCTCTTGCAGTGTGGTGGGGACCAGTGATGAGCCCAACCGCCTCTCCGGGCTGCATGCCGCACGGTCCCCATGCCTGGAGAGCCAGGAGCAGGATTTCCATTTAGGTGTGGGAACAGCGAGCTCAGGGTCAGCTGTTTCCATCTGGCACTGGCCCAAGGAGGCATCAGTGACCACTAATGTTGGCACTGGGAAGGGCACAGCCAGGGAGAGCCATGGTATGGGGGAGGCGAGCTGAGCATCGCCCCTCTGAACTGCCTTGGTCCCTGGCTGGCGCCAAGCTCACTGCATGCTCTCCTGCGCTAAACACTTTTGCTTATTCTGGCAACTAACCCATCAGTCGGCAGAGCACGCAAGGGTCACCGGCCTTGAGCGATGATGAATGATATCGCATTGCTCCAGCGCGGCAGGGACTCGGCCGCCGGCTGCTCCAGCACACAGCCCTGCCTGGGCTGGGAGGCAGAGCGCCCGAGGCCAGGGAATCAGACACCCTCTTTGTCACCGAATTTACGGTCAGTCTCACCAATTTGTCAGCAGCCGCGGAGCAGTAAAGCTGCCGGAGAGCTGCCCTCGGCCTGGCTGAGGCACAGAAACATCCCTGGCATTCTCCAGGCTCAGCGGTGCTCATTCGGGGTGGGGGCACACAGACAGCAGTCCCCGGCCGATGGGCCCCACGCCTCCCAGAAAGCGGAGATGAGCGCTGGGCTTTGCTCCAGTGCTGGATGCCGTAAGCCGTGGACCTGGTGCAGCCCTGGCAGCACACGGTGCCCTTCCTCCATGGTGATACCGTGGAAGGCAGCACCACAGCACAAGAAATACAGCAGAGAGCTTGGTCAGGAGGGCAGCACTTTGCTGCAAGCTTGGCTGCCGGCTGGCTGCAGGACCGCTGCCTCTGCCCCGGCGGGCTCACAGCCCACAATTGCGAGCCCAGCCTACAGACCCCTCCAGGAGGGATGCTCAGAGCCTGGCACGGCTGCAGCACCCAGGGCTGTGCCGGGCACACCGGGGGAAGGACAGGGCGGCTTGGGCAGAGGAGGCTGCCAAACCCCGGCACCAAGGTCCAGAAACCCAGGGCTCGGGGTGGAGATAATAGCAATTACAGACGTGGGGCACGGCCGCACCTTGGGGCCGGGAACGCGCGGCAGAAGGGAGAGCTGTACATGCTGCTGCCTTTGCAGATCTGGTGCTGGAGAAATGGGACCTGCAGTGCGATCGCAACAGCCGGGAGCACCGGACGGTGGAGATGAGCGGCCAGCAGCTGGTGGTGCGGCGGGGGCAGCCCTTCACCATCACCCTGTGCTTCTCGGGCAGGGGCTACGAGGAGGGGGTGGACAAACTCGCCTTCAATGTCGAGACGGGTGAGTGCCGCCGTGCCCTACGCCCCGAGCGAGCGCCTGCCTGCCGCAGGGCGAGCTGCCCTCTGCCCCTGCTCCAGGGCTCACCCCGTGCTCACGTGGCAGTGCCCCGTCGCACGCAGTCCCCGAACGTGTCCCGTCCCCTCCCGGCAGAGGCTGGTGCTGTGCACAGCTTTTACACCAAGACAGAGAGAAAAGGTAGAAACACGGCCCCGTAATGAGAGCTGAAGGGAAGCGATAAAGAAAGAAAACAAAAAGCCACCGCCTCCTCTTCCTCCCATGCCCAAGCCAGACTCAGGGACGTGCCAGAGCTGCCGGCTCACTGGGAAGTGCCTTGGCTGTGGCCGGGGAACCCACCCAAGTCTCTTGCCCTTCTGAGAAACATCAGCAAAAGTGAATCTTTTCAGCCGGAGGGTTTCACAGCACTTTCGCAGATGGTATTTTTACCCAGCCGCCCCTGCTCTCCCCCTCCTCCATCACTCGGACATCCCTGGAGCAGGGTTTGCTCAGGAAACGCAAACCCTGGAGAAAGGAAACGTTCCCACTGAGCCTCCCCAGCGCACAGCCCCACCGCAGCCCCCCCCCGAGCGGTGCCGGAGCTGGTACACGGGAGCTGGGCGCAGCATCTGGCAGGTTCCTGTGGCTCCTTGCCGGGGACTTATCCTGCTGCTGCGGCCCTGGCGAGAGCCCGCCGGGAACAGCGGGGATGGGGACGTCACTCCTGCAGCCAGAGCTGGGCACAGGGCAGGGGCTCGGCCCCCACCAGCTCAGAGCGAAGGGTGAGGAAGCTATTTCTTGGGCAAGAGTTATTTTGGGACTGCAGCATCCTGCTGAGTCAACCAGGCTAGAATTCAAAGTGAAACTGCACTCGGGTTTCCTTGCGCTGTATAACGCTCTTTTTCTTCCCCCCCCCCCAAAACTCCAATCCTGCCATGGGGTGACAAACACAAACCCAGCTCCCTCATTGCCCCCCCCCCCCCCAGTCCCAAGGCAGCCATGGCAGGGGGTCCACCCTCAAACTTGCCGGGTTTCTATAAAGTCGTGCTGCATCCCAGGCAATTCCAGGCTGGTTTTGCAAGCGAGGCGAAGCCCCACGGCGCAGCCTCCTGGGACAAAGGCACAGGCTGGCGGCGGCTGCCATCGGGCTGGAATGCAGCCCTGGAGCTTGCAGAAAAAGGGCAAAGGTGCTTCAGCTCTCACAAAGACACTTCGGCTCTCGCAAAGGCGCGTGACCATGCCACCCCACTGGAGGTGGCCCCAGCCTGTCCCTCAGTGGGGCTGGACCCACAGCCCTGTCAGGGCAGGGGCTGCCCGACCTGTGTGTCCCCCCCAGGACAGCAAAGCTGCTGAGGCCACCTACCACCTCCCGCAGGAAAGAGGGGAACGGCTCCGTGTAAGAATAGAGCCTGTATTTTTAAAGTGGCCGTGTTTGAAGAGCTCTGCTCAGGCGCCTGGGGTGTGGGGGGATGCTGCAGGCTTTGCAGGCAGGGAGGAGGAGGATGAGGCAGGCTCCCGTGGCTGCCTGTCCCCACGGCAGGGCCAGGCTGACCCTTGCCAAAAGGACAGGGTTAGCTCAACCCAGCCTCCCTGAAAGGACAGAAAGGAGAAACTGTGTCACTCTCATGAGTTCATGAGTATTTTTGGCGATTCGCCTGGCGTCCTGCCCACGCTGCGGGCGAAGGCTGGCAGGGGACCAGCCCTGGGCTGTGCTCCTGGCAGGGGTGGCGGGGGAGCAGACCACAGCAGCACCACTGCCCCGGCTGCCAGCCAACCCTGCCCAGGCACCGGCATCACCGCGGAGCCACGCTTGGCCGGGGCCGGGCATCACAGCTCCCCAGAGGAGCGGTGCTTGGAGCCGGCTGGGCGCAGGTGGCTTGGACACGGCTGCAAGCTCGGAGGGGCCGGCAGGGATCACGCTGTCCTCGGCTCGAGCGCCGTGGCCACTGATGTAATGGCTAATCGTGGGATGTTTGCAGCAACGCCTGAGGCTGCACACACATAGCAGGGCTCCTGCCCAGAGCACCCCGGCAATGGGGGCTCTGCGGTTCACGGCTGGGGCCCCCGCGCCATGGGCTGTGGCAGGATGGAGCTACACGGGCACGGGGACTCGGCAGCTCCGCTCCAAGCGGAGGCAAGAGTGGGCGCAGCTGAGGGGAGAAGACATGGCCCTGGGGCGAGCACCCCCTCCGCTCTCCTGGCCCTGGGGCGCCCGTGGGGCGAGTGCCTCCCTCCTGCTCCTTCCCAAACAGCAAGGGACGTGTCTGAGCTTCCCACGGCTGGGCTGCCCCACACCCCCAATACCCCACAAACCAAACAGCAAACATTCCTGGGTTACAAGAGCTGAGGTCCAGGCAGCCACCGCAGGGCAGAGGGCGCGGGAACACTGCGGGGAGCTTGCAGGGCAGGTCCCCTTGGCACAGCCCCCCGGGAGTGGGGCTCCCAGGACCCCTAAAGCACCAGGAGAGCTGACACGCTCCTTCTTGGCAGGACCCTGCCCCATCGAGACGTCGGGAACCAGGTCCCACTTTGCCGTGACCGATTTCCCCGAGGAATCGGGCTGGAGCGCCGTGGTCCAGCAGCAGGATGGGAATTCCCTCTCCGTCTCGCTCTGCTCCCCAACCAGCGCCTGCATCGGCCGCTACAGCCTGACGCTGGAGACCTCCACCGGCTACCAGGGCACCAGCTACCGCATCGGGCACTTCGTTCTGCTCTTTAACGCCTGGCACCCAGGTGAGGCTTTCACCTTCCCTAGACCTGGGGTTCCCAGGCAAGGTGAGCACAAGCCACCCCCCAGCTCTGCCAGGACAGACCCCAGGTGCCCCAAGCCCTGTCCTGAGCTGAGATCTAAGCAGAAATCCACACTTTGCTTCCACCTCCACACAGACCCCACAGCAGGTCAGGGCCACGAGCACCATCCCCCACCCCAGGACATACGCAGCCCCTCTGTCAGCACCCCAAACACCCAATACCCCTTCCAGGCTGCCCCCACCGCACGGTGCCCCACGGGAGCTCACCTCTGTGGTACTGGTGCGAAGCCCTAAGCAGCAACAGCAGCTCCCAGCCTGCTGGGCAGCGGAAAAGCCCCTAATTACCCCCTAATTGCTCCTCATTGCCCCCATCTGGCCAGCCCCTCCCACACCCGCTGTTGGCTCAGGGACGAGCTCTGGGTGCTCCCAGGGACGTTACTGTCCCAGTGAAATTTGGGCAGCCTGACAGAGAAGGGAGGCTCAGTGCTGCAGGGTTTTAACGATCCTGGGCAAACAACAGCTGAGATTTTTATCTATCCACATCCTTCCTCTGCCCCGAGGAGCAGTCCTGTGCTGCCCCGCTCCCAGCTCCACCCAGCCAGAACTGGGCCAAACTGGCCAATTTCCTGAATCCCAAACGCTCGGTGCTGGCTCCACCAAGATAAGGGGCATTGGGAAGCTTCACTCACCCAGGGCTCTGCCGAGCGCTAGTCTGGAGATGCATGTGTTGGGTTTTTTTCTGAAAACTTTTCCAGTAAAGAGTGATTTTTCCAGCAGTAACTGCTGTGTGAGCAAAATGGCTTCAGCTGTGATCTCTCCCAGTTCCCACTGCTTGTTTCTCCCACCAGGGAGGTTTTCCCTCCTGGGAAAAGACCTAACTCCATAAAGCAAAAGGGAGGAAAGAAAGAGAGAAATGAGAAAGAATGGAAAACCCCAGGCCCGCTGAAAACTTCCCATCAGCTCAAATCAAACTGGGTTGAAATTCTCCAACAGTTTTTTCAGATGGGAGCAGTTCCAAGCCCCTGTTGCCTCATTTCTCACCAGATCCATCCCTGGGGAGGGGGAACCCTAAGCAGGGCCGGTGGGTGCGGGGCAGAGCCCCGTCCCCATCTCTTTCTCTCCCCGCAGAGGACACGGTTTTCCTCCGAGATGAGGATGAGCGCGGCGAGTATGTGCTGTCCCAGCAGGGACTCATCTACCAGGGCGCCTGCGACTACATCACCTCCACCCCCTGGAACTTCGGCCAGGTGAGCGGGGCAGGGACCCCCAGGACCCCCGGCCGAGCCCAGCCCGTGCAGCCCTGGTGCCGCAGGGCACGGGGACTGGTGCCCCGTGTGCGCCCGAAAACATGCACCCCGAATGCAGCCAGCACCTTGGGGAGGATCCGGCCCTGCCACGCGACCGTGCTACAAACCAACCAAGATCTCCTTTCCAAGAGGGGAACGTGCTGACTTCGAAGCGTGGCAGAGCGAAGGGAGCGTTCCTGCACGGCTCCCGGGGGCCCCAGGGGCGCGCGCCCCTAATCGGGGTGGCCACGCTGCGCCGGGAGCCGGTGCCCGATAACGCGCTCCCCGGCACCGTGCTGGCCATGCCGATAAGGCAGCGCCCGTGCCCCGAGCCGCAGCCCCCCACCGCCGCGCTGGGCTCCAGTGCCGGGGGAGCCCTGGCCGCCCTCCTCGAGCTCCGGGCTGTTCCGGAGGGGCTGCGGAGCCGGCGGGAGCAAGGGTGCGCGTGGCCCCTGCAGGATCCGCGTCTCAGTTCGGGGAAAGGCTGTGACTCACCTGGTGATGGGAAATAGGTGGTTTTCCCCGGAGGTCAGGTCCGTGCCTGACCCCTGCGCAGCGGCGGCTGCAGGAAGCAGGATCCGGCCCCGGCGCGAGGGCGGGAGCTCGCCCTTGGGCTTCCCAGGCTGAACCTCCGCCGGCCGCAGCGTCAGCCCCTCGTTGCGGTGGCACGAACCAGGGAAAGTCACTCAGCGGGTGCTGGCTTGGGGAGGGGACCCCGGGGCTGCGTGACCCCCGTGTGCCCGGCAGCTTCGCTTGCGGGGCATCGTGGTGAGCCAGGGAGGGAGGACGGAGGCGGGAGAGCCCCCGTGCGCCGTGGGGACCTCACGCACCTTTTCTCCCCGCTCTGCACCAGTTCGAGGATGACATCTTGTCCATCTGCCTCAATCTGCTGGACACAAACCCCAAATTCCTGAGGGACCAGAATAGGGATTGCTCCCGCCGCAACGACCCTGTGTACATCGGCAGGGTGGTGAGCGCCATGGTGAGTCCTGCAGGGTTTTGGCCACCAGCGTGCCCAGCAGGGTGTCCCCAGGCTCCCCAACACCCCACGTTCCCTGGGGTGCAAACGCCCCCCCAGCTATAGCTCGCAACTACAGCTGTGACAGAGAGGTGGCATTTGCCATTCCCCCTCCAGTTACACTAGTTTCCTTCCCCGGGGTGTTTCGCATCCCCGTTACAACCTTTCCTGCTATTGCTCTTATATCACATATATATAAGATTCTTTTAAGAGGAAAGAAATAGCAGAGGTGAGCACGCGTCATCCCAGGAGCAACCTTTGCTCCTCGCTGACTGCTGCAGGTCATAATCATACCCAAAATCCCAGGCAGGAGGACATGTTTCTAAAATCCTTCCCCAATTAGCGCATCCCAATTATGGCCTCTCCATCCACCCGCTCTCTCACCTGTGCGTCCCCAGCACGCCGGGATGCAGGTGGTTGCAGTGCAAGAGTGCACCCGCCTGCATCCCAGTGTGCTCTTGCACGGCTCCAGGATGGCTCATGAGTGTGACAGCACGTGTGAGCTGGGGAAAGGCACTTTCCCTCCCTCACCAGCCTCCTCTTGTCATGCCACAGGTAAATTGTAACGACGAGGACCGCGGGGTGCTGGCAGGGCGGTGGGACAACCATTACGAAGATGGGATGAGCCCGATGGCCTGGATCGGGAGCGTGGATATTCTCAAGAGGTGGAAGGACTTTGGCTGCCAGCCAGTCAAGTATGGCCAGTGCTGGGTCTTCGCTGCCGTGGCGTGTACCGGTGAGAGCAGACGTCTCCCCTTCCCTGCAGGATGGGGCCACCCGTATCCCCCCACCCGGGCCCTCTGCACTGCTCCCAGTGCTGCAGCAGGAGAGAACTGCTAGGGCTGATTACAATCAGCCTGGAATGATTGCTTAGCAATTAAGCTCTCTGTTATTCTAATTTGTCAGGAAATGGAGGGAAAAAATGATAGAAAAGGGCTCTGGCTTTTCAATTAGTGCTGCCCCCAGGCCAGGCAGAGGGGGAGGGACTGGATGCTCAGCACAGGAAGGAAAGTGGCTTTAAGGTCAAGTTTGCAATAAGGTCATGAATCCACTGAGACCAAAATAATTTCACTGCCACCGGGGCAGTCGGGCTGGGGCAAAAGAGAAGAAGAATTCCAGGCTCGCTTCTGTTGGGAAGCACGTTTGCACACTTGCGCAGTTTCGTCCTGAGAAAAACGCTGCACTTGAGGGGTTGCATGAGTGCGCGTGTGCATTTATATATCACAGATATACGAGATCCTTTTTAGAGAAGAGAAATAGCAGAAAACTAAAGTGGATTTTTCTGCGACTCACAGAAGTTTATAGCCTTCCTTTGAAGCGTTATAACTACCTCCCTGTTCCCCAGGGAGCTCTGCTCGCAGTAAAAGGCAGCTGTGAGATTAAATAAGAGGTTGCAGCGCACTGCTGCCCATGCACTCCCTCAAAAGCACTCGCAGCCACTTTTGTGCCTTTTTTCTACTGCAGTATCAAAACCCAGCCGACTGTCAGTGCCGCGTGCCACCCATCTCGCCCGCGGCACGCCGAGTCCCACAGCGACTGCAGGAACCAGCCTGTCCTGGGGACCAGTCCCCAGGCACCCCTTTGAGGGGAAAAGGGAGGGGCAGGAGCCGTGCAAACCTGGGGCTCCATGGGATGGGAGCTGTGCAAACCCGGGGCTGTGCAAACCTGGGACTGCCCGGGATGGGAGCCGGGCAAGCCTGGGACCCCCAGTGCCGGGACCCCCGTCTCACCCTGCCCTGCCTCCCCGCAGTCTTGCGGTGCCTGGGGATCCCCAGCCGGGTGGTGACCAACTACAACTCGGCCCACGACACCAACGGCAACCTGGTCATCGACCGCTACCTCAGCGAGACGGGGGAGCAGGAGCAGCGCTCCAAGGACATGATCTGGTGAGCGGCACGGCGGGACCCCAGCCTGCCCACCCCCGGGGCAGCGTTTGTCCCTTCTCCAGCCCTTCCCCGGAGCCCAGCGGGCACTGGGAGAGGCTGAGGCCACGATGTCCTGGCTTCTCTTGCAGGAACTTCCATTGCTGGGTAGAGTCCTGGATGGCCCGTCCGGACCTGGCAGCCGGCTACGATGGCTGGCAGGCGCTGGACCCGACACCCCAGGAGAAGAGCGAGGGTACGGCGCGCACCGTGCAGGCACTCTGTCCTGACCCGGCAGGGTCTGCCCTCGCCACGACAGCGTCTTGCCCCCGCGGTGGCTGAACCCCGGGTGGTGATGGCATCTCCGCTCCCTTGCAGGGGTTTTCTGCTGCGGGCCAGCCCCCGTCAAAGCCATCAAGGAGGGCGACCTGCAGCTGAAGTACGACATCCCCTTCGTCTTCGCGGAGGTGAACGCCGACGTCGTGTACTGGGTGGTGCAGCGCGACGGATCGCGGAAGAAGAGCACCCACTCCTCGGTTGTGGGGAAGAACATCAGCACCAAGACCGTGGGCAAGGACAGCAGGGAGGACATCACCCACACCTACAAGTACCCGGAGGGTACGGGGCAGCAGTGGGGGCAGAGACACCCCGGGGTGGGGGTGTCTGTTGGGAAACGATTAATTAATGCAGCAACTGCACCAGGAGGGCTCCGGGGATAAGGGCAAAGCAGCCCAGACCACGTCCTTCTGGGAAACACAGGTTTTCTTCATGCACCGCAGGGTCTGAAAAGGAGAGAGACGTGTTTGCGAAGGCAGAGCACGAGAAGAGCTCTCTCAGGCAGGAGGACGAGGGGCTGCACCTCAAGATCAAGCTGTCGGAGGGCGCAAACAATGGCTGCGACTTTGACGTCTTTGCCGTCATCAACAACAACACAGACATAGAGCGAGTCTGCAGGCTCATGCTGTGCGCTCGAACCGCCAGCTACAACGGCACCGTCGGGCCCCAGTGCGGCATGAAGGACCTGCTGAACGTCACCCTCGCGCCCCGGGCAGGTAAGAGACCCGCTGGCAGCGAGGAGAGGATGCTTGGGTGAGGGCTGGGGTCAGGTCAGCAATTTTCCCGTGTTCAACTGCGTCTCCGGGGTCTGCAGTGAGGCTACGGTGCCAGGGCGAGGGCTGGGGCTGGGTCCCCCCACCAGAGCACCACCGTGCTGGTCAGGGGCCAGGGCAGCCCTCGCAGGCAGTGGGAGAGAGCCACTGCCACCAGCTCCAGGCTTTGCACCGACAGCTTTCCAGAGGGGAAACCCTGGTCACAGCCACCGTCTCCGCACACACGACAGTTGAGCAGCAGTAAGAGCTGGGCTTATCCCGCTGAGGATAAGGTTGGCACAGGGAGATGGGACCAGTGGGAAGGGCTGCAGGCTTGCACAGAGCCCCTCAGCCCCGCTCAGGACCTGGGGGTCAGCACCAGCCTCCCTAAAAACACGGTGTAAGCCAAGGGCCAGGTTTCACTTTTAGCCTTCCCCATCTTTGCTTCTCCAGCTTGGCACTGCCCAGCACTGCAGGGGTTGTTGTATCCCCTCCGGTTGTACCACCACCACCGGTTCATCAGGTCAGCACACTCTGGGCTGGCATAGGGCAGCAATTGGAGGTTTCTGTTTAATCCCGTGCAGTAACGGCCGTGTTAAAGCATGGCCTGGGGCTGGGCAGTAGGGACAGCCGGCACCCAGAGCAGGTGCCGGGGCGTTTATCCATCCGGCAGCCCTGTGCCGCGTCACCACCGTTCACCAGCAACTGCCTTGGTGGGCAAAGCCCCAGGCTGGTGGGGGCTCATGCGAGCTGCAGCTCCATCACAAGGCTGCTCAGTGAGCAATGCCTCCTTCAGGGCTGCCTCCTTATTTATCTACCACTGGGGATTTTTAATCTTTGATGAAAGGATAAGGAACATTGCTCAGGCAGGGGGTTGGAAAGGCATTTAGAGCAGGACAAAAGTTACTGCTGTTGAATCCGTCATGCCGAGGGAGCAAGCTGTGTGCGTCCCAAGGCTGTCGTCCCCAGGGCACTCTGTTGCACTCGTGTCCATCCCTCTCTTGCTCTTCCACACGCCTCCGCTTTGCAAGCCGGAGCTGGGCTAGGCTGGTGTCTCTGGCAGGATTTTCCCACAGGCAGGGAGAGCAGGACTGACCCCGGGTCAGCTCCAATAGCACGGTCCCAGGCTGGGGGGAAGCAGACAGCCCTGGGTTTTGTCGGCCAGGCTGGTCACAGCAGCGCTGAAGCTCTCAGCATCTCCTCCTTGGGCAGGCGTTTCGCCACAGAGCTCTCCTGGTGCGGGCTGGCTGAACCTTCGTTTGCCTTTGTTACAAATTAGCGTTATCGCCTGGTAATTAAACAAGAGTTTTGATTTATGTCAGTTTTCTACAGACCCTTCAGGGCTTGGAAACGTAATACATCTGCTGTCCTGGAATGGCCTAATTTTTAATCTATGCCAAGATCTGGTCTCCTAACAGGACCCGTAACAAATGCAGCACTCAGCACTGTGCTATTTCTTGAGCTGCCCGAAGGGAATAACGAATGTGCCCGCTGTCGCTGCTGCAAAGGGAAGCAGGACACTGCCTTTGCTCACGCTGGCACCCCCTCCCCACGGTGTCGGCACCGGCAGGTACCAGCACCTGCAAGAACTGCTCTGCGGGGCCGGACGGGGACAGCGGGGTCCGTGCATTGCTAGAGGAGCCCCGCTGGCCTTTAGGGTCTTTAACATCCCTGTCCACAAGTTAATTCAACATCATTTTCTCTGAAGCTTTAATTACGAGCTCCTGAAGCTTCTCCCCCCAGCTCCTGCCTGGGAATATAGACCCCAGGACTTCCCAGCCTGCAGCCTTCAGGGAACCCCTGCACTCTGTGCCGGTGCAGGGATCCCAGCTGGAGCGGTGCTGAGCCCGTCCCTCTCCCTGCAGCCCCAGCCGGTGCTGCAGCACTTCACGTCCTGCCACGGGAACGCCAGGCTTTGCTTCCAGTGGTCACGGCCTCCCTGGGGTCCTTCCTCAAGACAGCTCCACAGCTGGTTGCCTTCAGCCTCCTTCCCACCCTCAGCACAAGACAGCCCAGTCCCTAACTGGCTTTGGGATAAATCACGCTCAGAGCTGAGCGAGGGCAGCTGCCGGGAAGCCGGGCTGCCTCCCGCCACCAGCACCGGCTGCCAAGGGCTGGCGAAGCCCCTCTGGGACCCCGGTGCTGGCGCATCCCCAGGGTCCTGCCCTGACACGCGGCTCCTTCCCCTTCCTGCGCTCTGACTGTCACGTCTGGCGCTGGGTGTTGGAACCCTGGCCGGGCTGTGGGGTCCCTGCCCGCTGCCCCAAGCCGGGCACTCGCAGCCCTGCTTCCCTGCGTGGGTGGGAGCACCAGCACCCAGGACCCCAAGGACCCAGCTGGGCACAGGGCAGGTGTCTGCAGCTCATTTGGGGGTTGATGACAGCTAACTATAACCTGTTTTCTTTGGGAAGCGATTAGGACTGACACCTCCCAGCGCAGGCTTGTTTGTGGGCTCACGGTGCCATGCCCACCCCACGGTACCCCTTCCCCGCAGGGGTACTCCCAGTGCTGCGGGACTCCCAGCTCCCCTGAGACTTTCCCATCCTTGCAAAGCACCTGGAGAAGCTCCTGGAGAGCCCAGACCATCCCAGCAGCAGCTGGGTGCCAGCACAGGGCCACTGGGTTGGGGAGGGGGCCTGACCCTGCTCTGCTTCCCCTTCCAGAGAATAGCGTGCCCCTGCGCATCCTGTACGAGAAGTATGGGGAGAGCTTGACCCAGGACAACCTCATCAAGGTGGTGGCTCTCCTCACCGAGTACCAGACCGGCAATGTGGTTGTGGCAGTCCGGGATGTCTACATCCAGAATCCGGAGATCAAGATCAGGGTAAGGGCCCAGCGCCCTGTCCCGGATGGGTTTGGGGGGGACATTTCCCATTGACAGGAGGTTGCTGCAATTGCCCTGGGGGATTGCTCCCAGGGACCCGAGCCCTGGGGCTGGGGCAACCCCACCACGGCAGGGATTGGGCAGCAGGTCCTGCATTGCTGAGTAGGGCTGCATCCCCAGGGACCTGCCAGGCTCAGAGCAAGGGGGAGCACCGTCACCCCCAGGCATGGCGGTGCTGGGGCTCCAACCCCTCCTGCTTGCAGATTTTAGGGGAGCCGATGCAGAATCGGAAGCTGGTGGCGGAGATGAGCCTGGTGAACCCCCTCGCAGCCCCCCTGAACAACTGCGTGTTCGTGGTGGAGGGCGCCGGCCTCACCAATGGGCAGCAGACCAAGGAGCTGTAAGAGCTTTTTCGCCTTTCACCCGGCCGTTGGGAGCAGGGCAGGGGGGTATTTTTGTGCCCGGAGCCCCCCAGGGAGGGCTGCTCTGGGGTCCGACTCTGCTATGGGCACAGCGGGAGCTGGGGCCGTGCTGGTCCCTGTGGGGCACAGGGGCTCGGAGCATCTCTGCCCCACGCCTCGCTGGGGATGGGGGGGCTCGGCTATGCCATGGGGGGGTCCCTGCTGCCCAGGGTCCTGGGCACGGGGAGGGAGAGGGGCCGCCCCACTGACCCCCCTGCCTTCCGCCAGCGAGGAGCCTGTGGAGCCACACGCGGAGGCCAAGGTCAGGCTGGATTTCGTGCCGCGCCAGTCGGGACTGCGCAAGCTGGTGGTGGACTTCGAGAGCGACAAGCTGACGGGGGTGAAGGGCCACCGCAACGTCATCATCGCCCCCCAGCCCAAGTGAGCGGCCACCGTGGTGGCCGCCCCCCCCGCCGCAGAGACCCTGCCTCCTCCTCTCCTGCTCGGGGGGCTCACCGGCCCCCTACTCGCTTTAGCCCAAGACGGTCCCAGCAGCGCGTGGAAGGACGACTGCCGAAGCCCAGCCTGACCCCGACGTGGCGGCCCTGGTACCACGCTCCCCCCCTGGGAGCGCTCGATGCTGCAGGGAGAGAAGCGAGGGGAGCCGGGGGCTTTCGGAGGCTCCCTGCACCAGCCGCTCGCTTCACCGCCTTTCCCTTGCCCCGCGGGGTGGAAACGTCCCCGTCCTGCCTGTCCCCCTGCCTGGGTGCAGCAGGGACCCCCAGAGCCCCCCCAAGCCCAGCACAGCCAGGCAGCGGCCAGCCCCCTCCTCTTTCTGCAGCACTGACAGCCCCGGGCCGCAGCGCCCATTTCATAGACCAAACAGCCGAACAACCTTCTCCAGCACCGACTGCACCTCAGCTGTGCTCACGCATGCCGTTGCAATTCTCTGAACACAGTTTGGTAGAGAAAAGATTGTATACTGTGAGCACAAAGCTGTTCATATGCTATATACGTATATAACAAACCTATTTATATAGAAATACATACTGCATATAACCCTACTGCATAGGTAAAGCAGGGTATTTGCTTTGATAACCATTCCTGTCACTGCAAACACTGTGCAGTGAGGGACAGGATGTTTCCTTGACATGAATTAACTATGCAAGCACTGAATAAAAACTCTATTTTTCACTTTTAAAGCCATCCCGGCTCTTCTTGAGCATCCTCTCCAAACAGAGGCGCCCAGCAGCTCCTCGCCCAGCGCCTGAGTGGGGGGGGGGTGGTCAAGTTTCACCCCCAGCCCAGCACTGAAGCTGTGGATTTATTGCTGTGGCCAACACTTTGCTGCACTAAAGCCATGCTGTCGGCTCCACTTCAGCCACCTCCCTCCACCCTGAGCCACAGAGCCGGCACAGCCCAGCATTCTCGGGGTGCTCTGCAGCTCAGGGGTTGTACCCATAAAGAGCGGTGACCCCCACGGCTCCCCCAGTCCCACAGCACAACTCAGCAGCAGCCATGGCACGGGGTAAACCTGCGCTCAGCCTCCAATGCAGTGCAGCCGCAGAGGCTAACGTGGATGCCATACATTCCCAGAGTGTTTCTCCCATAGCAGGAATGGCACGGTGCTGCGACTGTGCACAAAGACCAGGAGAGAAAATCCGTACAGGAAACGAAACGAACAGATTTTGCACACACAGGCTCTTGTCAGGGCTGCCCACGGGCAGCTGCCAGCGCAGCTGGAGAAAGTGCAGGCCAGCAGCCCAAGCACAAGAAACCCAACCTGGGAGCAAGGGAAAAGGGGTGGCTGAGCGCAGGGATGCAGGAGGAGGGCAGGGATTTGTCTCAAGCCTGGGACAGGTTAAGGCACTGCTGAAGACAAGCACTTCTCACACCAGAACACGACCCTCCTGCTTTCTCCCCATGACCATCGTGGGAGCCTCCCTGCCCTTGTTAAACAAACACCAGAAAAGCCATTACAGAACTGGTGGTCTCCTGCTGCAGCCAAGGGTTCCCAAATCCACAGCAGCCCCAGGCAGAGGGGATGCACCCGGCCCAGGCACCACCGGCCCGAATGGGGGGACAGTCTGTAGCACAAGGGGACCCCGCTAGGTGAGCTCACACCCGGCTGGTCCCAGTCACCCCGACACTGCCGGCAGCTGTCGGGGTCTCCGGTCCTGGCTGCGATCCGGGGTGGATGGGGAGCTGGGAGCATTTCCTACCCAGGACAACCTGTCCTCCAGCTTCCCTTTCTGTTGAAGGCAAGACAAAATCTCCATGTGCAGTTCTAGGCACAGCTGCTCGCCTCTCCCGAGCCTGGCAGGGGGTCCACGGCCAGACATCCCAGTGCCCTGGCTCTGCTCGCCCCACGGGAGGACTGGCAGGAGCTGCCCGTGCTCCATCCTGGCCCTGGGGTCAGGCAGCAGCCTCGGCTTCTGCTCCAGCCAAGGGGCTGAGGAGGACGCTGTCAGGCTCCGGCTTCGTGCGTGGCAGCGGGTTATTTGGCTGCCAAAATCTTTCAAGACAACCCTCCAGGATGGCCATGCGATCCTTCTCCCCTTACCTTGTGGAGGTTTAACCACCACATCTCTCCGTCCCGCTTTTCTCAAATGCGACCAGAGAATGCAGCTGGGACCACTGTGGGGCTGCAGTGGGGACGCCGGAGGGGAGGAAGGGTCCGGCCCACGGGAGGGCTGAGGAGCTGCCATAAGCAGCTCTCCTGACAGTTGGAAGCTGAGTATACCCACCCCGCCACGTGCGAACAGGACAGAAGCTCCAGGAGAGACGGGGATGGGGACTCTCTCCTCCTCCTGCAGCCAGGAGGGCGAGCGGTGGGGACCACGCCGGCCCCCAGCTCTGGCAGCATCAACCCCCGAGACACAAGTCCCAGGAGCACAGCCAGCCATCAAGGAGCTGCGGTGCCCGAAGGAGTTAACAGCGTGAACCCGGCGCTGCCTTCCCTTGTCAGGAACATTCCTCAGAGCCAGCGATGATGCACAGCCTTACTTTAAAGAGCATTTGTTACACGCAGCTCTGCTGAGCCAGGCTTCAAGCTGCTCAATGCCTGGTTTAAAAATAACCGGCAGCTCCTCTGGTTCGAAGCTGGGTCCTGATAAAATAACCATTAGCACAGCTATTTCTGAAGGTCACTCCCATCCATCTGAGGCCTGGCAGAGCAAGGCTGCTTTGACAAGAAACAAGCTCATAAGAGACTCCAAATGCTGCATTTACAGTTTGGCTCTGGGGTTTGGCTCTGTTTAGGGCTGGTTTCTCCCCCATTCTCCAGCAACCACCACCCCTTCCAGACTGTTTGCAGAGCCCAAGCAATTACTTAAGGCACCTCCGTCAAGCCCACGAGTGTTTGCCCCACATACCTTCTTAGTCATCCTTTAAGGACTGCGAGAACAGCGTGACCGATCCTGCAGCCGCTGCGGGGCCTTTGCCGGGCAGAACAGGCACCGTTGGCTGCCATAGCTTGGGAACAGCTTCCCTGCACGCATCCCTGGCTCTCCAAACGCTGTACTGTGCTACATCCATGAGACTCTTTGGCACTGTTGCCATGCAAGTAATAAATTATAAATTAAATATTTACAGCATCCATTGCATGGGAGAATTTGTAATACAGCATTAGCCCAGGTGCCAAAGCAACGTGAGACAGTTTACATGTAGAGGAGAGGTTATTAATACATCTCAGCTTGCCAGAGATGCTGACTTGCCAGGAAGTGACTATAAACTCATTTTAGACTTGAGGACCTTTAACTTACCTTCATTGATGGATCAAGACTAGAACAAACTACCATAAATCAGTGTGCACAAGTGCGATTCTGTGAGATTTTCAAATCCCACTGCCTCTCCAAAGCTCTCCTTCCTTCTCCGCAAACTCGGACACGTTTTAACAATCACTGAACTGACGGGACACCTGAGGCACCAGCAAGCAGTGAGAGAAAAACATGTAATAAAACCCAGACAGCAAGAGCTCCTGTGGGAAGCCACCCCTTTTTCCAAGGCCATGGGAGGTACAGGAGACACCACAGAGAGACACTTCTTTCAGCATGGCCATCAAGTAGAGTTACA